TGACGCTCGACGCTCGACGCTCAAACGCTCCCATGTAATGGCACCTTAATGGAGCATTTACATGCTCCACGACCGATTCTGGTATTATTTAATACGAGAACGTCTAGAGACTTGTCCAGCCAACAATACTTTTGTTTCTAAGAAACATCTCTTCTAATTGGTTATTGTATGTATGTACATACATATGTAATACACATAAATCGGGTGGGGGAGGGGATATCATAAAATGATCTTTTTGATTAAAGATTTTTTAACGTTACATGACATAAATAAACTTTATTGACTTTTAATACATAAGATACAGATAACCATTAGAAAATATAAAAGTTCTTTTTATATATATAATTCTACGTCTTTAATTTCAATTTATAGACCGCGCATTTTCTTATTGCTATTTGAGATTATATTCAATAGTCGATATACCGAGTTTAGTTTTCATCTTTATATTTCGTCTAAAATGCAATATTCAAGTACTACATGTTATATAACTTTTTTTTAAATTATACTATGTTTTATTATCAATGACACTCGTTTATTTGCCACTTCCATCGACATGTCATTCGCTTGTACTGCTCCAATATATACCTGAAAATAGATATTTTATAATCTACAATCCATTGCACCTAATGACGTTTACACGCTAAAATATTTGAATTCATTATAATTTTATTGTAAAAAATATACGATATTTTTTAATATGTCTAATAAAATAACGCAACAAAAATCACAAGTGTCGTATGATTTTTAACGTATAATAAAAATTTATTTAAGAGCAGAAAAAAGGAATATTAGATTAGAACGATTTTGCTTACTTCTCAGCTGCACACGCTCCCATCCAATCGGACATATCAATCATCATATGGGACACGCGTTCTAAATATTGCTTTATGCATAGCATACGTACATCTTCCGAGTAGCATTGAAACGGTGTATAATACGTTTCGTGTAAAATCATAATATTGCTACAACTTTCAATTTCTTTACCAAATATTTGCCATACCTGAAGAAGAAACGTATTGTTGCTACGTGAAACATTTGATTATTTGCACTTAATATTTATTATTATACTTTCTAGGCACATTCTAGCACAAAATAATGTATGAGCTTAATTGCATCTTTATTTTTATTTTTTTAATACAACGTTGCTTTTCTCACCTGCACCCATTTCCTCGATAATATATTTCGCAAAGATTCTCTATGTTTAAAGCGTTGTAAAGCATAAATAGCCTCGATGCCTTCCTCAACGTTCTTGATCTCTTCAAATATGCGATCGATCAAATTTTTCACCATGCTCTCCAATTCCATTACAAAGTTTCTGAATTTCAGCATGTTTTCCAGCCACCTAGATTTTGTAACGTCCAAAATGTCGTCGCGGATCAATTTGATTTCATCGAGACTCTCATAAAATAGGCTCTCTATTTGGCGACACGAGGCATCGTACTCGATACCTTTTGGACCGCCGATCATTCCCACTTTGTTGCACCTATAAAAATGGTGTGCATTTGTCATACGTATATATTATAATTTATACGTGTATGATAACGTAGCCATTTCTATTTTGTAATAGTATTTTACTATATATTTATTGTTCCGAGACATGTGCGTGCAAAATACTCTATTACCTTCCTTATTCTATTGCCTTTACCTTCCAAATACTATTGAAGAATTACATATTTCAATGATATCGCAACATCTTTGCACAAACGTATCGATATAATTAAAGATTAATTTTTCATTCACATCCCAGATGCTATTCGATTGAATGAGCGCAGTTATCTTCGTGACCTGCAACTGATTTTGTAAAAAAAAAAATAAACGAATTTGATTTTACAGGAATTATAGCCAATTTCATCAATTTTCTTTTTATTAATTAAATTAAATTGTCTATTAAACTTGTGATTTTTTACATACAATTTATTTTACTTTAATTAATATTTGCTAACGCGGACAGTTTGTTACGTACTTGAAGCATTTTATAAAGCATTTACAAAGATTATTAAGAAACGCTGTCCTGCCAGGATGGAAGCTCGGTAAAATTGGCCATAACACAAAAAGTTCAGAACACATTAAATATACTTTATTATATGCCGTTTTATATGTTTGGCAACAAGAGATGCATTTCCGAAGTATATTTATCCCATTTTCCGTATCGCCTTCTAGTATCACTTGCAAATTGATATACGTCTTACATTGATGTACTATTTGAGCGCTTATGGCTGCACAAAGTACCTCTATGTTGTTCCTAAAATAAACAAGTACACGTCTTTTGTTATCCAATTTTTTAATATGCGGATAATTTTAATTATTTTAAGACAGAGAAATCAGAGGAATCAAAGTGTTACGCGATTACACGCGCAAATAAAATACGTGAAGATAAAGTTTAAAATGTCTTAAATGTCCATTTCTACCGATACAGATCCGATTTTTGATCTCGGTTTAACTTACTTTTTATTCTCTTCTAGTTGTAAGATTTAGAAAAAGATGAGAAATAAATTAAACCGAGATTAAAGTTAATCCACATATTGGTAGAAGTGGACATTAATATGATATATATATTAAATATAAAAGAAACCTTACGACATGTTGTAAAACGGGGATTCCGTCCAGATAAACAATATCAAAAATAGTATTTTCATCATAGGTTTTTCTTCAATCTCGCTTGGACATTTCAGGTTGTTACAAGCTTCCGATAGAATGTTGAGATAAGTTATATTGGACGCAGCTTGTTCTACGCCTTTGCGAAGCTGTAATGTTAAAAGTTGAAAGGAGTCCACGCTCGGCGAACAAACGTTCTCCAACAGATGCACGATCGATCGAATTTCCATACTCGATAACTGATGATACAAACAGCATAAATTAAAATCTGCAAAAAAGACAACTTTGAGATATACTTTATGTTATTTTGAGACAATAATAAAAGTTTGAGTAAACACAAATGACAGTTAGAGCCGCTTGCGAGATTCACTATACATAAAATATAATAAAATTCGAAATTAACATCTCACTGTCCAACGTTGCAACTCGTCGAATATGGTTCGTTCGCCTTTGCTAGATTGCGTAGACGTGCTCGCCAATACTTGTCGTATTTGTTTGATCCAATATCGTACAATTCTTTCAAATCTGCCGATCAACGCCTTTTCCGACTCCCGTACGTCCTTAGAAACATGCGGACCATTTGTTTCCGTTAAATTCAGTTTTTCGTCTCTCACGTCCATCTCTGCTGATGGTATCACGATATCAGATAGATTTTCTGCCGGCACGTACAATTTGGTCAAACCCATCGGCTTGTAAACCCATTCAGTTAAGCACATCAGAAAATTGTGTAGATCGAAGAACAGATTGTTTCTGATAACTGTTCTTGTTATTAAAGAAATATTTTATATATAAGATCGACGTTAAAGAATCAAACTCAAGAATAGTACGTTGAAAATAAATTTGAAAATGACGCGATCTAAATTTGTATTCTGTTGTATTCTTATGATTAAAAACATCAATAATAAATATACGTGCTTGCTAATTTTA